ATCTTGGTAACAATCTGGTTAAAACACAGATCCTATTTTATTTTGTTTTTTTATAGTTCAAAATTTCATTTTACTTGTCTTTACTACACTAGGATCTGGCGTTCTGGATGGCGTGAGGGATTAGCCAATGAAACCATCTGTTACAGCAACTTCTTGGCATGCCATGCACAGAACTGTAGGTAAACCACTACAGACGTCAACGCTGATTGATGAATCAATGTCTGACGTCATAGGGTCAAAAGCTGTTTGTACGACCCCTGATGCAACCTTCCAGTACAACTGGTCAGATCTTCATGTAGTGTAGGCCATCTGAAGTAAAAAGAAAAACAAAAGGAAATATAAATCTGTATTTAATCCGATTAATCTTGGTAATGTATTCAAGGAAGACATATAATATATGTTTAGAAGTGGAAAATACTACATCTTGTATTCAATGAGAATATATTTAGAAGTGGCCAATATTGATGAGCTAAATGTTATATATATATATATATACCGGTATACGAATATATATTTGTTTTGTTTTTAATATTTCAAAAATAAAATATATAGATAATATTTACTGGTTTTAGTCATCTTGTTCCTTGTCAAGTTTTCATCATATAGGAATAACAGCTTCATGTGGACGTGTTCTTTCATATAGTAATAATAATATGTACATTTATATAGCGCTAGTACTCCAAGCACAGAGGCATGCTCACAGCGCATACGGTTAAATTAATTTAATAAATCCTGATAACATTTCTCAAAAAGATAGGTTTTATGTCTTGATTTAAAACAAGAAAGGATCTGAGATGATTTAATGATTTCTGGATGATTGTTCCAAATGATTTTAGCTTCCACCTTGAGCAACACACGACTGATGAAGTCTGTTTGACCGGAGATTACAGTGTTTGTATTGCAGACCTACCCTTCCCATCACCTGCAAGGGTGTAGTAAAGTTGGTAGATTAAACCTGCTTAGTTCGGGGAAATAGATTTCTTGATTTATAACACCAGATAGGTTTTAAATAAGTTTATATACTATTCAAAAAAAGTAGGGGATATTTGATTTTGGGGGCATAATACTAAAATATGCAAATGACTACGAAAAAAGTCACTATAGAACCTAACAGAAGAAACATTTCCAGTTACATGTGACGCCCAAACGCACCAATAGCTACCGCATGGAATGCAGGTGATGCTTGGGATCATCATGGGGGTCCAACCCAAGATTTGCACGACTCTGACTTTGAATGTTACAGTCATTGTGGCATTGAATTCCAGGGTGGAAACATCAGTTTAATTGTTTTAGTGACCAGAAAACAAATTTTGATATGCGTCGGCTTACCCAAAATGAAAGGTTACGTGCCCTTGGCATGCTACAGATCGGCACAACACAGGCGGTTGTGGCGCGGACGATGAATGTTTCTCAGTCTGTCATAAGCAGGCTATGTTCCAGATACCGTGATACACAATCTGTACAGGACAGACCACGCTCAGGTCGACCAAGGGCGACAACTCAAGCCCAGGATCAATTTATTCGTACCTTGGCCTTGAGAAATCGTGTCATCACAGCAAATCAGATCAGCGCTCGTCTTCAAACAGACACTGGTGTGAGAGTGAGTGGCCAGACGATTCGGAATCGACTGCATAGGGGTCACCTTCGCGCCCGACGTCCTCGCGTGATCCCTTGTTTGAGAGATCATCACATTCAGGCAAGACGTCGTTGGTGTAGGGATCGTCAACACTGGGATAATCGACGCTGGAGCAATGTGATGTTTTCAGATGAGTCAAGGTTCACTGTTGATTTTTTGGATAGACGTAGGAGGGTGTGGCGTCGTCGAAACGAGCGCTTCCAAGACGTTAACGTCATCAGACATGATCGATTTGGGGGTGGTTCTGTTATGGTGTGGGGAGGCATCACTGTTGCTGGAAGAACGGCTTTACATGTTGTTGCAGGGCGTGTTACAGGCCAGTACTACCGGGACAACATCTTGGCAGTCCATGTTGTGCCGTTCGCACGACGTCATGGCCGCCGTTTCATCTTCCAGGATGACAACGCAAGATGTCACAGGGCCAGGATCGTTACAGGTTACCTCCAACAACAGAACATCACCACATTACCTTGGCCAGCACTGAGTCCCGACCTCTCCCCCATCGAGCATGTCTGGGACATGCTTGGACAGAGGTTACGTCAACGTCAACAACGTCCTGCCAATTTCCAAGAACTTGCTGCTGCGTTGCAACAGGAATGGGACAATCTGGACCAAAATGACCTTAGACGTCTCATTAGGAGTATGCCACGTCGGATCAATGCTTGTTTGGCAAACAGAGGAGGATTTACCCGTTACTGACTTGGTTGTGATGCTGTGGTAACTTTGCTGTTTGACCCCGGGTATCATTTTACCCTTATAATGGTCAGTCTGTGCCTTACTTAGTCTAACGATCATTTGGAATAAATCGATGAATGTGAACTTCATTTCATTTTGTCATTTGTTTCTTCGTCAGTTTCATTAGGTGACTTTAATAACACTTAAAAATCAAATATCCCCTACTTTGTTTGAATAGTATATATTCCACAAATAACACATGTTACAGTTAAAACAATTAAATAAAACGCGTAGTCGATGCTGGTTACTCTACATGTATATCACAACCATGACCATGACCGTTAAACACCAGTTCTGTTGATATTACACATAACTAGAACATATAATATATTTATGTTTGGCAAGTGATGGCCCCATTTGTGGAAAAGACCCGGTGTTGACCTTCACTATTCTGTAACATGTGGTAATGATGCATGCATGTAATTTAGTTTTATCCCAGCTACACTTCCGAATAACCAACCAGGACAAAGAATTACAAATCACCTGATAAACAACTTTTCAGACAGAGACCACCTTGATAACTGAAAGACTCCAACGAGTTATCCTTTCAACTACCCAAAAAATATTAAAACTAAACCCACATAAGAAATAAGACATTTCAACCACTAAAATAAAATAAACCATAATCCAGACAATATAATTCCAGACCCTTACAATAGAAAATCCACCACCAGAAACATCTTCACTAATTTATATTAGCTCAAAACCAAAATTATAAACTCACAAATTCAAAACTACCAATATTAAAGACACTGGCCAGGACATTCATAACCAATGTTAATTGACAGAGTCCCGAAATACGACCCTGTTACATTTGCATAAGGTCAGAGAAGTATTTTGGAGCTAAGCCATTCACACACTGATACATGGGGGGAGAGAGAGAAACTAGATCATTTTGGGACTAACACATGGTTCAATTTTATTTCAATAATTTGCTTGCATACAGGAGTGGGAGGAAACTAGAGAACCCGGAAAAAACCCACGCAATTGGACAGGTGACCCTACTCTGTGTCACGTACAAGCGGGGAATTGAAAACACACCACTTGACACAATGACAGACCTTATGATCAATCTTGCACATGTTAACCATTCGACCAGCCAACTCCCAGACCTTATGATCAATCTTGCACGTGTTAACCATTCAACCAGCCAACTCCCTGAAATGTGAGGGAGACTAAACAGTCTAATGCATTTCGCTTTAAGATCATAATAAGGTCTGTCATTGGCATCGGTACAGTTTCATTTTTATACGCCCACACGATTTAGCCGCTGTGGGCGTATGTTTTGTTGCCTGGCAACCTATCTTTATGGTAAGGACGATCCTTTTTCCATTAACTGGAGGCCAGTCTATAGCTTCGATAACATTAAGCAGGTAGTGTGGACGATATATTTATTCATCAGCCAAGTTTTACATGCATCGTGGTAACATGCTATAAAACTATTTATGCGACCACATATACTTGTCAGATGATCAATTTGTATATAATAATTAATATGCAGTTATCTCCCATTGGAGGCCTTGACCAACAATTAGGCATATGTGAATATAAAAAGACCGGTAGCAGAGCACCATCTGTAGATATACAAATTCTGAGTATAGTACTGTGATCAATCTGGCACTTGGGTTCAAACCATTAAAAGCACATAATTTTATAACTGTTATAATATGATCACATTGAAATGTTTCTATATTGCCATCTCTTTACCTGCAGTCTGTCTGCCCCTTGTCCACAAAGTCTTGTGAACACTATTCAATTAAACTACATTATCATCAGGTCTTATTATCTGTTTACATTTTGTGAAGAAGCCGAATGAACTTCTGGGATATCTTCCAGAGTTATTGCCCTTGGTCACTTTTCAGAATCTTGTGAAGGCTCTAACAAAAGTTACCCTATTTGAAATTAAATAGAGATGCAGAAGCCTGTCGAATTTCAATAATTTCTTACTTATAGAGTTAGATTACCCTTGATTAAATCATAGAGTATTATAAAAGAAATAAAGTGCCAATGATATTATAGACAGTTTGAATATTTTGCATTTTATTTCCACAAAGATTCATAATGTAATAATCTTTTTCGAGACTGCTTGGACAAATAATAATCTGCTGTGGGAGTATGTTTTGATTCCGGGCAACATCTTTTCAGATACATCAAATAAATATAACATGGTAACATAATAATAGTTGCTAGGAGACTGCTTGGACCTGGGAAAGAAGGGGAGATAACCCAATATATGCTACTATAATAAAACTATCATGTTTTATCAAAATATATGCATAATTGCATGGTTTTTAATGAAATGCTAACGATGTGTATGTAATCTTTTGAAAATTGATTTGCATATTGGGTTATTTTTTTTTCGACAGTCATCAAATTTTGTGGAACTTCCCCTTTAATTTAAAAAGATTATGTCATCATGGACTATTTATATCCCAATGAAATCACTCCGCTAAATAATAATATCATGCTATGAAACGTCTGAATTGAATGTTTGTAAAGTATTCTCTAAAAATATTTACGATATGCAAATGTAATGGTCTTCGTTTTGAAAACTTTTCTAGCATATTTGTATTTTGATGTTATGGGACTATTTGTTGTAGGAACAGGAAAGCGTAGTCATAAACAGTAGTGCGTTTGTTGGTTATGGACTCGGCGTTCAAAATATGCTAAAAAGTTGAAACTGTTCATCAAGAAAAACGGTCATACAATGTAAGATAATGATGAAAATGATTGTTGTGTTTCATGTTAGAGAGTTGAAGAATCATTGACAGCGAAGCATTTGATTAATTTCTTTTACTGGGTTTCAAAATAATTGTTTTTAAATTGGAACGACATCCAATTTGCAGCTGAGCTGGCATATTTCATTTCCTTCACTAGCCTAGACGGCCTATCACTAGCAGACTTTTCGTCATGTTTGCTGAAATATGCGTAGAAGAACCTACAGTTTACAAAAGTCAGCAGGATCCAAAACTAATTTCTCTCTGTCCCTGCAAAATATTAATAGAAAAAAATCAAGTGTCATTGTTAATACACTCATCATTGTTTAAAGTAGCTAAGTCTCTAACTCAATATCATCCAAAATCTTCAACATTGAAAACACGATTTATTTGTCAAATTAAATTAACATTCATCTTGTGATCTTACCGGAAAAAGATGGGCTATTGATATCCAATATTTAAGACAAAATAAACATTTTACCATTGGTACACGAATCGTGTACCATAATGCGCTTCAGCCCCAGTAGTTGTATCAAGAGACTCGAGGGACAAGGCTAGACACATTGCACCAAATCAAACGGCGTATGTAGACTGGAATAACCAGACGCTACAAATTTGCACTCGCTTGAGACTGCTGGCTTATTTCGCCGAACATAACTGATTTGAAATTGGAGTAAATACGGAAACCATTGAATGTAAATCAGTTTATATACATTCATACTACAGTAGTACAGTATTATATGTGTTGCAACCTACTTTTGTCAATTTCTAGGTCCCAAATGTTAGCGATTTAGCTCCTTTATGTTTAGACTGGACTGCCAAAATTATTTAGGGTGTTGAAACATAACCTTAAAATCAGTCACTTCATCATCAAAGTTTTCATTTTGATTGAATAGGCCAACAACAATTTAGTTTGTCAATGTACAGCTCTCTCAAGTCTCTGTGAGACAATATTAGGTTTTGTGATTACAGAAATTACTGAATATCCCAGCTGTACCATGTCCAGGGTATTCTAGGACATGTCATGCAACCATCCAGAGTATTGCCGCCATGCCGGGATGGCTGTTCTATAATTAAGCCTGTACATAAGCCTCCTGTCACTAACGGTAGAACGACATTTCGTAGTCAGTTTCATGACTGTTGACAGTTCAGACACTTTAGACTTGATCTGGCGATGTTTGTTTTGTTTAATCGGTGACTATTGAACTGATTACATGTCATTTGGGACTCACGTCATTTGGGACCCCCGTCATTTGGGACTCAAAAAAATATGACCACGACATTTGGGACTCTTAGAAGTTAACGATAATCCGTGAGCTGCACGTTCACATGCTTGCTGTAGATGGCAATACCAATCGATAAATTAGTGCGTACAAGGCAAAGTTTTTTGTGGAAAATATAAGAAATGACAACGATCAAAGCGGGATAATTAAAGCTGATTAACTGATAATCCCGATGTTATTGCAGTATGTTTCAAAGAAACCTAACGGTTCTTTGGTGGATGAGGAAAAACGTGAGTTGTGAATCATCGAGAATGGCGCCGGCCGTGTGTTGATTGCAGTTATATCGTTTCACGAAAAAACATTAGCAGTGGTCGGTCAATCAAGCTCGTTTACTATTTGATAAAAGAAAAACAACGAAGTATTACTAAATATACACAAATTTTCAACAATATATTATTGTCAAGTTTTATACTCGCAGATAAAACAAAACAAAGGAGAAGTTTTATACTCGCAGATAATCAAAACAAAGGAGAACTAGCAGTGTTAATCGCGGTCTCAACAATCGCCGATCAACTAAATAAAACGAAAGACAACTAAGACAGCTTTTACTATATATCTCATAAATAAATAGTCCCAACTGTCGTTTATATTGAGTCCCAAGTGTCGTTTGTGTTGAGTCCCAATTGACGCCAATCAAGTCCCAAACGTCGTCAACTGAGTCCCAAATGTCGTTTATGTTGAGTCCCAAATGACGTGATACCATTGAACTTCACACTAAATTATTGTTGAAACTTTGTGTATATTTTCTAATACTTCGTTGTCTTTGTTTTATCAATTAGTAAACAAGCTCGATTGAACCTAGCACTGCTGATGTTTTTTCAATTGTGAAAGTCAAAATTTCTTTTATGTGAAACAGAATAATTGCGATCAACACGCGGCCGCCATTACTGCTGATTAACAACTTGAATTTTTCAGCATCCACCAAAGAAGCATGTATGGTTTCTTTGCCCATCGGAATTATCGGTTAATTAGCTTTAATTAATCCCGCTTTAATTGTTGCCTTTTCTAATATTTTCCAAAATTACTTTTCTTTGTACGCACTAATTTATCAATCGGTACTATGGCAAGCTTGTCGAGGAATGCATGTCAACGGTTTGATGGCCAAATGGTTAGCCAGGCCCACTGTATCATGTCTGCCATTGAATGAACTGGCGGGTTTCGATTCCTCGGTTGTACATGACAAGGAGTAGGGTCACCTGTCCAACCTTGTGGGTTTTCTCCGGGTCATCTGGTTTCATTTCATTTGCTTGCAAATAGGGGTCTTTGGCAGTGGAAGGAAACCAGATGACCCTGAGAAAACCCACAAGGTTGGACAGGTGACCCTACTCCTTGTCAAATTACTGAAATAAAATTGAACCATGTGTTAGTCCCGAAATTACCTAGTTTGTTTCGAATGGATGTTAAACCACATCTCTCTCTTTTTGTGATTGATGTCCACCAAATCTGGACATCAGGAACCTGTCACAGACTTTCAGACACAAAGTTATATTATAATAAAACGTTGTGATAATTTGTGTCTAACAAAGTCCGTGACAGGTGCCTTCTAGTAATAATAATACTCCATCTTAGCAGCAGGTCAGGTTAGACATCTAAACTTACTGTTTTTATTTTCTATTTTACAGAATTATTTGGGCTTGTTGTTTCGTTGAAGCAGCTTATGTAGTTTTATAACTCAAACTAGAGTGAACTCACAATGCCCAGTGTTTGAAGTTATTTTTAGTATTGAAAGTATCACACTACACATACAGAATGCCGGATAAATTAGCCAAATCATCACCAACTCCTAAAGTTAAGGTATATCATTGAGTTTAATACATTTGTTGTCAATCTAATCTGTAGGTGCAGAACGGAGGGATCTAGAAAGGGATAATCTATAGTCGTTTGGATGGGACACAAAATCGAGGTCCTACACACTTTTACAAATACATAAAAGATCCCTTGGTAGTTGGAATTAAATATAGTGCCGCTGCCCAGCAATATTTTCCTCATAGCACACTGTGTGGTTTGCGTCCTTCCTCATTAGCCGAGTGTCAGGAGCAGAAAATTAGGACGTTAAAGTTAAACACCATTTCATTTCATTAACCAAGTCGAAAAGAAAATAGGACGTAACACCGTATTTCATTTATTTGTTTAATTTCAGCAAAAGTGTAGCATGTTGGTCATGTAATATTTTGGCCTCTTCTAAAAGAGATGAGCTAGGGTTGAGTAGTGTAAAGGTTTCTAACACGTGTGCTTTAGATCATGCAATCTTGTCATTGAGTCAAGTGGCATCATTGTTGATCCCATACTTCTACATGACAAGGAGTAATGGTTGCCTGTCTAACCCACGTGGGTTTTCTCTGGGTTCACAGGTTTCTTCGCCCTTATAAAGACCCCTATGGATAGACAAATTATTGAGATCAAATTGTACGGTATGTTAGTCCCATAATGACCTGATTTGTGTCGAGTTGATGCATAAATCCTCTCAAGTTTTATAATCAATGTTTTGTAGACTATAGTTAATTTATTTATTTATTTTAATTTCCAGAAGGGGAAATCTTTAGCTATGAAATTGGGATTTAAAAGTTCTAAAAAGTAAGTGCAGGAAACATATTTTTTGTGAAAAGCTAAAAGTGTATTTCTAGATGTATTATGTAAGATTTAGGTAGAGCCATAATTGTTCAAAAATATTGTTCGAGAAAGTTAATTGTGATTTTTCAATGTGATTTCCACTCGTCAGTGGTGCAGGCCTGACAAGGACAGCTGTCCAGTTGTTCGGATGGGATGGAAAACCAAGGTTCCTGTGTATATATTGACATGCACGTAAAAGATCCCTTGGCTGTTGGAATTCAATATAAGAGTAGGTCATAGTGCTGCTGTCCGGGCAAAATTTCTTTCATAGCACACTGTTTAGCGTATGCCTGTCTTCATTAGCCCAATCGGAACAGAACAGTAGGACGTTATTAAACCCCATTTCATTTTTATACAATCTGATTAAAATACAGATCTATATTTCGTTTCGTTTTTTATACTTTCGATGGCCTACACTACATGAAGATCTGACAAGTTATAGCGACCGACTTATGACCCTATGGCGTCAGACATTTGATTAACCAATCAGCATTGATGTTACTAGTGGATTACCCACAGTTCCATGAAAAACATACCTAAAGCTCGCCGTAACAGACCATTTCATTGGCTTATCCCTGACACCATTCAGAACACGAGTTAAATAACAACTCTTCCGGTTCCAAGTGTAGCAAAGACAAGTAAAACGAAATTTTGAACTATAAAAACAAAACGAAATAGGATCTGTGTTTTAACCAGATTGACTTTTATAAGGAAAATAATAACTGGTTTGTTCCCATAGAGTACAATGTTTCAACAAGTATTCTCTTGTCGTTATATATGTATTAACTAGTGTTTGTTTTCAATACTGGGAGACACGTCGGATAAGATGCTGGCTCGCTAGCCTGGAGGTCACATGTTCAATCCCAGCATTGGCCGAGAAAGTTCATCGATATTTTTCGACGTGGTTTCCCTTGTCAGTGTTGCAGGACGGAGGGCAACAAGGACAGCTGTCTAGTCATTTGGATGAGATGAAAAACCGAGGTCCTGTGTACACATTGACGTGCACGTAAAAGATCCCTTGGCAGTTGGTCAAAATTTCCCTCATAGCACTGTTAGCACACTGTATGGCGTATGCCCGTCTTCATTAGCCCAGTCGGAGCAGAGCAGTAGGATGTTAAACCCCATTTCATTTCATTTCTGTTTCCAATACTAACAGGATACCCTGCTTAGCCCAGGGCCCAAATTCACCGTGGCCCAATTCACCGTGGCCCAATTCACCCAGGGCCCATATTCCATTGCCTAAAACATTAACAGGGTCATATTGCTTAATTTGATACCACTGTATGTGTAGGGGTAGGGAGCAGCAATGAAGCGTGATTCGCCCAGGGCCAAAATTTGATGGGCTAAGATATTCACTGAGTCACGCTGGTAAATTTGATACATGTACCACATGTTTGTGTAGATTGTGGTGACAAAGCATGATACATACACCCGTCTATGATTATATTTATATAGGTAAATGTTTGTGTCTTGTAAGCGTATTTGTTGTATAGGTTTCATTTGTGTGTAGTGCTTCCCTCCATGGCCGAATGGTTAGCGTGTGCGTGCTGGGAGATTATCTAGTGGGGTGGGGAGTTGGATGTCCGAATGGTTAGCATGTGCACGCTGTATCATAAGGTCTGTCATTGAGTCAACTTGCGTGGTTTCGATGCCCCGGTTATACGTGACAAGGAGTAGTGTCGTCTGTCCAACCTCGTGGGTTTTCTCTGGGTCCTCCGGTTTCCTCTCACTGCTAAAGACCCCTACGAGCAAGTGTATTATTGAAGTAAAATTGAACTATTTCTCTCTCTCGCTTTCTTTCATATCTTATAATAAAGGAGAAGGCCTAATAAATTATTATTATTATTATTATTGTTTGCTGTAGGAATGGAGTAAAGGAGAAGGCAACGAAGCGCCCAGGAAGAAGTAAACCAGGGTTCTCTCTGTATACACCAGAATCTGATGATAATGTGACTGCTATGAATAATGATATTGATAAATGTGCTAATATTTTAAACCAATTAATAGCAACTAAACAAGGTAAGATACATCCTCTATGTCCCAAGTGCTACTCCACCTTTATTTATGCCCGCATGGAAATGTGATCGTATGTTAATTATTGTTGTCGTGTCCGTCCAGCGGACTGTAATTACTTAATGAGTTGTTACTCTTAATCAGATTTTATTGTGTTGTAAATGTTTCATTACTGACAAAAGATAAAATATACGACAACCCTTGTTGACTGCCCAGACGACTTAGCTGTTGTATGTTTCGTTGCCTGACAACCGTCTTTGTTCTTGTTTTTCTTTTATATTAAAAGGAAACCCCTCCACTTTTCTGTGAACTATTTCATTGTATTTATTTCAGACAAACAAAAGAAATCAAGTAAGAAATCAACCAATAAGACGGAAGTAAGAAGTGATTACATATTAATACCAACAGGAAATGAAGAAAGTATGTTTTTATTTCTACTTTTGTTTTATTCTAGAAATTAAAAAAAACCAAGTGAAATGAAATGGGGTTTAACGTCCTACTGTTCTGCTCCGACTGGGCTGTCCAACCTCATGGGTTTTCTCTGGATCTCACTGCTATAGATCCCTACATACAAGCAAATTATTGAAATAAAATTGAACCATAAGTTAGTCCTGAAATGACCTGGTTCTGTGAGTGGACGTTAAACCCCATTTCTCTCTCTTATCCTCTTGTGTCTGGTAATCTAGACTACAATATAACAGCATGAGGGAATTATCATTTAAACGTTGATGGACTTGGCCATATTAGAGCCTTGACTTCTATGTGAGCAGAAATTCAAATTTGGAAACCAGTTACAATTCCAGGCTCTAGTTTTCTATTGTCCTAAATACATTTACTCTTCTTTTTTTTTTTTTCAGTGTCTTTGAATCGAGAATCGAATGGTGTTGTTGTAAAAGAAACTATCACAGATATAAAAACACCGTTTAACAATCGTTTGATATCATCAACACCCGATCCCGATAAAATACCAGATGACGATAGTTCCCTCCCTTTACAGACAATACCAGAACTCGACAAAAGGATGCGCGACTCTCTACCAGCGTCTGTCACCCAGAGTTACGCTAGGAATATGATGCGACCAATTGCTCAAGCTCATTCATCTCAAGGCCAAAATTATGTTCACATCCACCGAATAACCGATCCTTCCGTCATCAAACATAATGTTGTCAATAGCAACAAGGAGATGACTCAAAATGAAAACATATCAGCCAATCACAGACCTGAATATTTTGCACCTCCACAACAGAGACGGGTTCAGTTGTTAAAACCGGGTAAGCGTTGCTATAGCAACGATGAATTGACCTATGGTCATAGGGGTAGCGAAACTCCGTTAGATTTATCTAATCAAAAGCTGTCCGAAGCAGAGAATTCCATTTCGTCCAAACCACGTCCACTCAGTACAGATAGTATTATGGATCTTCGGAACAAGAACCTCATAAATTTCGACTCGGAAGAAGAAAGACAACGGAGGCAGGAAGAGAGAAGAGGTAGCAACATTGAAGATTTAAAATGTTATTTAGAAAGAGATGAGGAAGATGATATATTTTCACCACCAACTGTTCTAAAAGCACCCAAACAAACGCGGAAATCTTTAAACGAAATATACGAGAATCAGAGCGAGCAGAGTCCCAAGAGGCAGGAAAGTTTTGGATTTCGATCCATGGATTCACATCATCCTGTACAGTCATCTCCAGAAAAGGGGCCACAAGTTCCAGACTTTCAGGACAATTTGAAACATTTTCAAAAGGCTGCACAGAATTCCATGACAACACTAGGTTCAATGCCACAATCAACAACCCAGACATCGCCCAAAAGTTCAGAAGTACAAAATTATCCCTCCGCTGTGAAAAATAAAAAGTTTATCAACGCGGATATTTGTGTTACGCCTATGCCCAGTCCTCTTCGAATGCCTGAACCACGTGCCCGAGCCATACTTGGAAGACCACATCATGCCATCAGTCCGGAATCTGACCAAACCGCACATCCCTTATCTCGAGAAATTGTCAGTCCACAATCAAAAACAAGTCCCAATCGATCCAGTCCTCCGCAGAGAAGCTCAAACAGCCCAGAACAATCCAGTCCTCCTCGTCAATTTGAACTGACAGGAAATTTTTCTCCACAGTTTTCCCCACCTCGAGATGTTGTGATGCAGGTGAATTTTCAAGGTGAAGTTGAATGGAAGTCACGACCGTATAAAGAAACATCGCCTGTCTCCAAGCCAATGATAACACCAGCAAAATATCAGCGAGGTATTGAAGAGGTAAGTTAAATAACTGTCTTTGTTTATTCATCGAGGAGGGAGTTGGGTTGGGGTTTTAGATCATGGATACAGGTAAATTTACCTTGTCATACCTTTTATATACATTATAGGGGGAATGGGTGGCTGAATGGTGTAACGCAGGGGTGCCAAACTCATTTCGATTCACGGGCTACATTAACTAAAAGTGGGCCAGAGATGTAGAACAATTCTAAAAACAAAGCCAAACGTCCTTGAATTTTAGTGAATTCTAAAATTGCCAAGATATAATACTGAATACAATGTTCTCTTGTATTACAAACAACTTAGATATCTATGAAATACAGTACAGAAGTCAGAGTTTTACTGAAACCAGAAAACAATAATAAATGATTTCCACTGCTAGTTTCTTAAAATTATCGACGCGTCAGTTTGTTGGAATTTGTTCCATGGGCTACATATGAACCTTTGGCGGACCAGATGTGGGCCGCATGTATTACACCCCTGGTTTAACGCATGCATATTAGGTCATACGGTCAGTCATTGAGTCAAGTGGCATGATTTCAATTCCCAGCTTTTACGTGACGAGGAATAAGGCCATCTGCCCAACATCATTGGTTTTGTCATGGTCCTCCCGTTTCCTTTTATTGCTGGCCGCTTTACATAGACAACAAGTAAAACAAAATTATAAGAGATACAAACTTGATGCATTTATTGTGTTCACATTAATTTCATTTTGTCTTCGAGTGATTTAAAATCTCTCCATTGATGATAAGCTGCTTTAGTCTTTGGTACCTTACACATCAAATGATTTCCATTTTCATATTGTTTTTACACATATTTCAGGAGGACGAACCGTATATAAATGTTGTGGATTATCCTAAAGATGAGGAAACGGAGGAACAAGCAGACGTGGAGAGACATCCAATCACAGATTTACCACCACAATTTGCTCGACTAGCTCATCTCTCGGAAACTCCCGCAAATTCACCGATACGGTTTCCCCGGCCTCGATCCTACAGTTCTTCACGACTGTCGGCTCTATCCCAGGAGGGCAATAATCATCCAAGTAAAAAGTCTGACCATCCTTTTTTAAGGACTATTTTATCGGAGAATGAAACAGAATTGCCCCAGGCGCAAAACCACTCTTATGAATCACATCCTGGGTTTGAAAACGAAAAATATCCGCAGCAATCAACCTCATTTCCCTCAAAACCTGTCACTGCCCTACCACATCATTTGTTACACGGAACTCCCATGAACTCACCGATACGTCCTGTGTTTAATGGAAGAGCCGATATACCTCCGGTAAAGGGGATGGAATCGAAGATAGATAACGATCAAGCTATACCTACAACTAGCGATCCTATTGGTGCCGTCAAGAAGTTACGTTGGTTGTTGACGGAGTTGTTGGAAGTCTGTGATATAGATGGTAAGTACAGTAATCTCGCCTTACCTCAAGGGGGATGACCGGAGTTTTAACTTGTGTGCTTTAAATCATGCGGTCTGTCATTGAGTCTTGAGTGGCATGGTTTCAATTCCAAACTTGTATGTGACCGAATAGTTCAGCACATGAAGCCTGTCAATGAGTGGCGTGGTTTCGATTCCCAGCTTGTACATGACAAGTAGTAGGGTCGTCTGTGGGAGAGGTTAGATGACCGAAAAGTTTAGCACTTGAGCTTTAGGTCATGGTTTTGATTCCAAGCTTGTACGTGACAAGGAGTAGGGTCAACACTGCTAAAGACCCTTATGCTCAAGGACATTGTTGAAATCAAATTGAACCATATTTTAGTCCCAAATTCACATAGTTTATATTGAGTGGAACTGACACCTTATTACCCTATCTGTGTGTGTATGCTATATGCTTTAATTTATTGTAGGTGATCCGGATATGTGTCAGTTAGCCCAAGATTTATCGAACACGGTAGAATCTATACCACAACTTAAACTAACATTTAATATACAGACGGAGATAGATCTTGCTTTACAACCATTACGCAGTGAAAACAGTCAACTTAGAAGGTAAATTTTATTCATATTTGGGGTTATCGGGCATGTTAGATCACAAGATGTGTCATTGAGTCAAGTGGCGGGGGTTTTGACTCCCAACTTGTATGTGGCCACCTCGTGGGTCTAGTGGTTCAACATGAGTGCGCGTTGTATCATAAGGCCTGTCATTGAGTCACCTGGCATGGTTTTGATTCCCCGATTTTACGTGAAAAGGAATAGGGTCGCCTGTCCAACCTTGTGGATTTTCTTCTGGTCCTCTGGTTTCTTCCCACTGCTAAAGACCCCTGCAAGCAAGGGAATACACTGCATGGTGTATGCCATTCTTCATTAGCTGGGCTGGTGCTTTAAACATGGCCATTCGTAAAAAATTTAATTTTTGTTTGCCATGATTATATGATACATTGAGTTTTGAATTACAGGAGACTAAGAATTGTAAATCAACAATTGAAGGAAAGGGAGAGGTTAGAAAAAGAAGCTACCACGCAACCTGGCGTCAATTTTCAAGGTATGTGTGAATTAGTTTTATTTAACGTCTGTTTCCACTGAAGTGGCATTGCCTTCAATCTACAAAAATACATCAGCTGAATAACACCTGTCCGAGGATTGTGTGAGTAATGGAAGGTCTGGGTACCTGACCTATTTATTATCAGGTCCACAGGTACATGTAGGGACAGGTGTTGAAAAATAACTGATTTTTTTGTTCAACCCAACAAAAGAACTAAATTATCTTTTTAGTCTCTGTCATTTGAGGCATTGATGGTCAATTATCCTCGGTAGTCTTGTTCCGTTCTACTCAACTATAACCTGAATTAATATATGGGGGGGGGGAGACACATATTCAAATTATCTGCCCTTTATTGTTGCTTGAGTCTACAAACCAGTCTCGGTCTCATTGCTTACGTTCTCAACAATATGGTAGATTGATTGTTGCAGCAAGATGACAGTTACTTTTCTTTGCCAACTTTTTATTTATCGATTTTTTTGATTGCTCATTTAAATAAAGGGCAGATAATTTGAATATGTGTCTCTTCCATGGACGGCAATGGAATTAGACCACTGGGGATACCGAGAATGGTTGTCAATGGGTTATGCAGAATTTTTAAATTCTAGGTCGAGTCTGACTAAAGTCCACAATGTACTGGCTAGTTGTGTTGTCTGTTTCGGCCCCAAAAACTTTCAGATGTCTTTTAATTTCTATGTTCTTGTTGTTTTTCTGTTGTAGTTTTACATCTTCAATCTAGTCATAATACTTTACAACGCCAACTTAAAGAGGAGAGAGAGACCAGAAGTAAACTATCTAAACAGCTGGAAGAGTTGGATAGAGAGAAGGATAAATTAAAACAAGAAAGACAGCAGTTAGTTTTGGCTCTAGGAGAAAAGGTGTGTATTTAGGTAGTAGTCACCTGTCTGGCTGTTGAATTTGACTTAAGAGTCAATTTACATGTCTCAAGATTAAAGAAGGGTCACAAGGAATTAGGTGACAAGGAATTGGGTCGCCTGTCCAACCTCGTGGTTTTCTGTGGGTCCTTTGGTTTCCTCCTACTGTTAAAGACCCCTACATGCAATTGAATTATAGAAATAAAAAATAAACCATATATTTGTCCCAAAATGACCTAGTTTGTGTTGAGTGGACATTAAACTCTATTTCCCTCTCAAGATTGCAGAATTTATCCTTTAAAATATAGTTAAATGTAAATTGGCATTGTGTTGGTCTCAAAATGAAATATATAGGAGTCCTACACTTTTCTGCTGATGAAAACGAGTATACTCCCATCAAGTATATTGTTGGGTAAATATTGCCCTAACATTGCCTGTGTTAAACATCAATTCAATTTTACCAAATCCACGTCCTTTTAATTTGTGAACTGGTGGCATATTCAATGAGCCATCACGCCTCAAAATAACCCAGTTTCTATTTGGTGTTAAAACCCCTATTTAATTCTATTTAAACATACATTATGGAAGAATTAATAATGAACTGGCAGTTCTCACTATAATAGTTAAAAACTAGATAATGTAAAGGGAATATGCTGAACATTTCAGTCAATTTGCTCCACTCTCAACCAAGATATCAGCGTTCGAATTTTAGGCCTAGACTCGGTCATCATTACTAAAGTCATACGATAAAAAGCATAGTCTCGATTATCCATTTTTGGATCAAATCATCAATGAGCGTCGACCAGCAAATTGGATTCAAATCCAGTGAAAATCCGACACATAAGCTGGCATCTTTTCATATTAATAAAGGTCTAATTAATAGTTTATATTTCAGGCCTAAAGAAAGATCTGCAATGGGCAGATTTAGTTCTTACATAAAGTTTGTTTAATTCTATTTTAGGATAATGATCGTTTAAAACTGCGACAAGAGAACTGTCAGGAGAATCAGAAACTACGTCAAGATTTAGCCCTGGCCCAGACTCGTACAGAAGGAAGTGGTTTAAAACTAGAAGCAGCTGATAGAGAAAATCATATCCTGAAGATCTCGTTAAAACAGCGCGACTCGGAGATTGAACGTCTGCAAGAAGTTGTGCAGTAAGTATCATGTTGTAAAAAGTTTTCATCCTTCAGATTTTTTTTTTTTTTTTTTTGTGGGGAGGCGACAGCCAATTCTCTTTTTGAATTGTCAGATATCCTCTCACAGTCTCGTATCTTCTTTGGAATTATCAGTGAAATGAATTCATTTTTGGTGTCACTTTCTGTTTTTTCAAATGTTTATTACGCATCTGTCGTAGCAATGATCTCTGTGTTAAAATTATATTTGGAACGTGTTTAACCAGTTCTATCACATATGTAATAATGACTGACACCAATATTGTCCTTAAAATGATGGTATGAATTTATTAATTATATTACAGGACATTAAAGGATAGTGTGAATTATATTAAATATATTACAGGACATTGAAGGATAGTGTAAATTATATTAAATATATTACAGGACATTAAAGGACGGTGTAAATGAAGTGTTAAGTTGTGTAGAGAAGAAGCCTATTAATGGTAATTATGTGTCACATGATGGAGGGGGAACTAATGGAGAATTACAGAAATTATTACATATAGTACAACAAGATGATCGACCATCTAGGTTAGTTCTGGTTTTCATTTCAGTTATAGGGAGCCACGGTGGCTTAGTGAGTAAGACACTGGCCCGCTAGCCGAGAAAGTTCATCGGGATTTACCGACAGGGCTTCCACTTGTCAGTGGGGCAGGACGAAGGAACTGACAAGGACAGCACGTAAAAGATCCCTTTCAAGTTAAAATTTGATATAAGAATAAGCCATAGTGGCGCTGCCCGGGGCAAATATTTCCCTCATAGCACACTCTATGGCGTGTGTATGCTCGTCTTCATTTGCCAAGTCGGAGCAGAACAGTAAACCGTTAAATTTCATTTCAATGATGGTGCATTCTTTATTTGTGGGGAGCCATGGTAGTTTAGTGAGTAAGACGCTAACCTAAATGTCCTGAGTTCACCTCCATTGTTGGCCGAGAAAGTTCATTAGGATTGTTCGGCATGGTTTCCTCTTGTCAGTGGTGTGGGACAGGGCCTGACAAAACCCAGTGTATAGTCGTTTGGATGGTACAAAAAAAAAACAATGTCCCTTGTTCATATTGGTGTGCACGTTAAAGATCTTGGCAGTTGGAATTCAATAAATAAGTAGACCTTAGCATGGCTGTCCAGGCAATATTTCCCTCATAGAACACTGTATGGTGTAAGCCCGTCTTCATTAGCACAGTTGGAGCAAAACAATAGGACGTTAAACCCCATTTCATTTCATTTTACCGCCAGACCATTTTGAAATGACAAAATAATTATGAAATATTTAACATTTTTCAGTCCAACAAAAAGTATTCATTCTGACCCAGGCTCTGTGACGATCACGAAGCCGTCAGCAATCAAACAGCTCCGATTTACATCAACAGATACATCGCCACTTACCCAAGATGCGTTGGCAGAACATGACAGAATGCTCACAAAAATAGGACGATCTCAAACCGCCATGACAAACAAGACTACAAATGGCTATAAAAGACTGGGTGAAAAGGACGAACTAAAAACGGACAGAAATGGAAACGTGAGAGATAGTCACATGATCAGTAAAGAGCCCAATGATGTTTCTCGGTACAGCGTTACTGATTATTTCAAGAAATATCCCAGCATTACGAATAACGATGTCAAGGAAACGGTAAATGATTCAAATCCACGTCTTTCCCTTAATTCTACCTCTATGACAGAAGATGTGTATAAAGGGGGAGAACTCAATATTTCTCTTAGTTCAATACAGGAAGATGTCCAGTCTGTGATGTCATCAATATCCGAGTCCTCGTCATCCACTGCAGTCGATGACACCGCATTTAGAGAAGGAATCGCAACCCTCGATGCCAATATTGCCAAAGTCCAAGAAGCTTTACAACGAACCAAAAAGATTTTTTCTTAAAGAAATTTAACTAAGCCAGTCGGAAGCTGATTGAGATGAAGGAGCCAATCAGAAACTTTTGTTGTGTATTACTTGTAGCCTACGTTGATCATGTCTTAAAGTCTTGCTCATCCAGGCCCTTTATGATTTTTTTGAGGGTCTGACGGAAGCCAGTCATTATTCTTTATTTCTGTTAACTACCTTAAATAAACACGGTTGTGAGACGGTGAAAAGGGGAGACTACTCCCTGGTCACCTGTCCGTATTCCATTACATATCTGTCAAACAATTATACACCGTAGCTGCATTACTTATGTAAAAAAAATGCAATTTTTTTGTCAAATTATTTTCTTATATTAGTGCTTTTTTGTTAACCAATTCTGATTGAGTATTTTTTATACCTGGATTTGAACACTGAGTTAAAAACTCCATTAGTAGACTTGTTTTAAATAAATGTGAAAGTAAAGCTCTCCATGTTCGATATTTCTTAAAGGAAAATTGAAAATTGTCGAGATGCGCAAGTCTCTTAAGTTATTAAAGAAATGACGAAATTAAATATTTGGGGAAGAAAGTTGAATACATCAAAACCATGTTTTGTCTAAGATTTGTCTAAGTCAATGATATAAGAAAAATATTTTGTTAATTTTTAATTGAAATGAACCAAAAAGGAGAGATTTTTGAAAAAGTAATTTGATTGAAGTGGGATTATTATTATTATTTTTTTTAGTATTTAAATCTGGTGTTTATTTTGTACTTAAAGTTTTTTGCGAAAGTGCTTCCTGCATTTACATATACCTAATATACATTCACCGTGGTTTATTTTCTAACGTTATTATTATCATTATCTGTCTCTGTTTTAATCATTAAATCAAAATATGTTTAAAAAAGGGGCTGATTTTATAACACACGTTCTTTTAATCATATTATCATCCATATAGGATGAAAATAATGTCCCCCACCACCTGTACACAGAACCGGTTATATTTAAATCTTATAAATGTCACCCCTCTGAGAGGAACATCTAATGCCACTTGTCACACGGTTCGTCTGTTGAATAGATCAGGTACATTTGGCAGGTTGTGGTAATGACTACTTTTCCTGCCTCTACAATCTATTCCTGTGGGTTGTTATTTTGTACACGTGAAAACGATGACGAATGGAATCAAACAAATGCATTGCTCCGGCCAAAATTGTCCTTCTTACCATTTAAGATTTAAAGACAGTGAACCATTATGATGTGTTAAAGGCTATTAAAAGGTGAATGTGCTGCACAGGCAAAAAGTCTCCTGTCACCATTTAAGACTTTAACTGCATAAAGAATAAATTATTTTGAGATAATCTTAGAATATCTGTCATTTGACATGAATGAGGCGTTTATTTATGATCAAAAGAACTTTTGTTTAGAATCCGGCCCCTTTAAAAAGTGATGAATATTGTTTTACATGTAAATATATATCGTTCTAGTCATATATATATATATATATATTATATTAATGTTAACAAAATATATTTTATATTTTAAGAAGTTGTTTGTGTACATTAATAATTATAAAAAAAAAAACTGATGATATTAGTATTAGCATAGGCCTTAATCACAAAGTCCGTTTGATGGTCGTGAATCAAAACTTATATATTTTCTGGTTCTTTCTGCAAGATTTTCAGATCAAAATCCAGATATTGTCCATCTGAGAATATGTCTGCTGATTTGGATTCTTATTCTTCAAACATATCAACAAGTGAGGGATGTTTGTCTTCCATAGTTTCACATCTGGATATTGAGAATTGTTTCGGATTTGAAACTTTACAGAATTTGGACTTGGATTCTTGGCCATCATACGCATCCTTTGTAAGATGCTTGAGGTAATCTACCGTCTCATCGACTGAAATTAAGACTTCTTCAATCAAGATTCTTAAATCAGTGCAATGAAAACTTAAGTGTTTAAAGTAAAATGAGTCGATGATTATCAATACTGTCATATATTACATTCTTGAATTTAGTTGTATTGTTAGTGGTTACCATGGTTACACCAACTAATAATACTATTATAGTAACAGTTGTCAAGGTTATAGTAATAGTTGTATTGTTAGCGGTTACCGTGGTTATTCTCACTTGTAGTAATATAGTACCTCGGTTACACCAACTAATAATAATATAATAACAGTTACCATGGTTGTGTCAACTAATAATAATATTATACATGTAGTAATTGTTGCCAAGGTTATACAAACTAATAATACTATTATACATGTAGCAACGGTTGCCAAGGTTACACCAACTAATAATAATATTATAGTAACAGTTGTCAAGGTTACACCACCTAATGATAATATTATAGTAACAGTTACCATGGTTATACCCACTAATAATAATATTATAGTAACAGTTGCCATGGTTATACCAACTAATAATAATATTATAGTCACAGTTGTCAAGATTACACCAACTAATAATATTACAGTAACAGTTGCCATGGTTATGCCCGCTAATAATAATATTATAGTAACAGTTGCCATGGTTATACCAACTAATAATATTACAGTAACAGTTGCCATGGTTATGCCCGCTAATAATAATATTATAGTAACAGTTGCCATGGTTATACCAACTAATAATAATATTATAGTCACAGTTGTCAAGGTTACACCAACTAATAATATTATAGTAACCGTTGCCATGCTTATACCAACTAATAATAATATTATAGTCACAGTTGTCAAGGTTACACCAACTAATAATATTATAGTAACCGTTGCCATGCTTATACCAACTAATAATAATATTATAGTAACCGTTGCCATGCTTATACCAACTAATAATAATATTATGCAGTCACTATTTAGATAATTGTCTTGTAAAATGTTTGTCTTAAAACACTAAATGTCCGTAATAAATACCCCAAGATATTACCTAGTATAGAATGGTCCATATCAAATTACTTGCCTTAGTCTTAGCATGTTATATTTTTTAAAAAATTTCTTTATTTCTAAAACACCTAAAACCTGCCTTAGATTGAATTGTTTTCATATTTAATTAAATCTGGCCACTGGTTACAAGATGTCTTATAGTTATAGCCTTAGCCGGTTTGTTGCTAGAACAATAAATACAACACGAGAAGCCAATAATCAATAGGGGAATTCCCCTAAATAATTATCAATCATAATTAGTCATTGTGCCATTACATTCATATACAAGTTGTTTTACAGTTGAACAATTAATAAAAGGTTATGTGAATTTATTAGCAGTAACGTAATTCTATCGAGTCCTGTTTATCACCGAGCATTGTTTCCACTATTATTCTCTTGTCGTTATTAAGAATGTTAGCATGTGCATGCTGTGTCATAAGGTCTGTCATTGAGTCAACTGGCGTGATTTCGATTCCCCGATTTTACATGACAAGGAGTAGGGTCGTCTGTCCAATCTTGTGGGTTTTCTCCGGGTCCTCCGGTTTCCTCCCACTGCTAAATACCTGTACGCACAAGCAAATTACTGAAATAAAATTGAACCATATGTTAGTCCCGAAATAACCCTCCCTCACTCTCTCTCTCTAACAAGAATTTATCATCAATTCTTTGCCTGAATCTTCAGTCTTTAAGTCAATATGGCTTCTGGACCTCTTAATCACTTAACTTGCGTCATAAAGACAATAGAATACTCGTTGAAGCATTGCTCAGTGATAAAAACAGTAGTTGTATTCCATAGTATTATGTCTTGTCAACTGATTTTATTATTAAGTACCGGTATATTGTAAAAATAAAGAGAATCTACCATCTAATGTGATACATCTACATATAGAACAAAATTATTGTTTTCAAATATTTTTTATTATATTTTTTTTTTATGTTTGTTTATAAACCAAAGATGTTTTATTGTGATAGAAATTGTTAAGAATAACTTCTTTTCCTTTACCAAAAAAAAAAAAATCTTTCCTTGGTCTTTTCTGTATCTTTTTAGATAATTCTGTTAGGATTGGCGATAGAAAAGTTGATCAGAACTATATATGTTTTTTAATTTAAGGAAAAAAAATATACATTTTTGTCCACAGAATTCCAACTATAAAAAAACCTGCCACGTGTCATAACTTTGGAAATAAGAAAGGCTAGTTGTGCCAGGTACAAATCTCAAACCAAAGAACTAAATAATTATCGAATATTAATCTTTTAAAGCCTGAAACAATTATTGCAGGTTATAACCATTAATTATCACAGGTCCTCCGGTTTCCTCCCACTGCTAAAGACCCCTACGCGCAAGCAAATTATTGAAATAAAGTTAAACCATATGTTAGTCCCGAAATGACCTAGTTTGTGTCGAGTGGACGTTAAACCCCATTTCTCTCTCTCTCTCATTAATTATCAAATATTAATCTTATACAGCCTGAAACCACTAATGTAGATTATAAACCATTAATTGTTGTATTGCCCGAATCAATTAACAGTTATTGTAGGTTATTGAGCATTAATTAACAAATATTAATGCTATAAAGCCTGAAACAATTAATGTAGCTTATTAGGCATTAATTAACTAATATTAGTCTGAAAATGCCCCAATGAATGTAGGTTATTAGGCGTTAATTAACTAATATTGGTGTTAAAATGACTGAATTAATTAACAGTTAAAGTGGGTTATCAAGCATTAATTAACTAATATTAGTGTTGTAATCCCTGAATTAATAACAGTTAATATAGGTTATATAGCATTATAATTAACAAATATTAGCCTTAAAATGCCCAGACTTATTTGTGTACCAGTAGTTATAAAATTATCTGTTATAAAAAAATCTGTGAAATTCAGAATGATACAATTTTTCAATGATTTATCATTTTATGAGAAATGTTATAACTTTGACGTTTTTATTATATCGATATATAAAGGTGGTTATTTGATTACAGGTATTAATACTCATTCTGACTAGAAACTAACCTTTTTTTATTATTAAATATATTTATTATCACATGTTTGTACATTGTATTAATAATTATTATAATGCACATGATATTATATCACATATCTTATATTTACATCTATTAACATCAATTCAACACAGTATATCATCATTTGGCCGCCATCTAAAGGTTATATCTCTTATGTTAGGAAATTTATTTTCTGGCTTTGGCAGAAACAGAATTTTCTTCTGTATTGAGTTGTCATAGATTTTTATGGATATTGCTTCAATATTTTGGATAATGGTTGATTCAAAATTATAATTATTAAGATCGGAAAAGTTGTATTTCTTTCAGAAATCTACCTGTTCTGTACTATTGTTCATTTGCAGGCCTGGGAATAATGGTATTAGTTGCACCTGACAAAATGTCAGGCATTAATATACCAGACATTTTAAACTTTGTTCTGGATGAATATTATATCAGAAAAACAAACAGGTCAGTGCCAGACAAAATGACTTAAAATGTCGGTCTACGAGCTTAGTGTCTTTTCGCAAGCGGAGCTAATTGTAGGCAAGGGTGCTGGGGGATGGTAACCTATTATAATTAAAAGGATATGTAATGGGAGTTAGGAATTTATATAATGGGAGTTAGGAATAAGCATTATTAAATTCGATCTTAATCACTGGTGAAAACTTATTCATATATATGTTGAGGTATATTAATTTAAACCTACCTCATGATCATGTGTTTTAGAAACGTCAGTTGACAATATTGAAAGCAACCATTATTTTAAAAATAACAATTCCAGGGCCTTTTTCTCCCAAAAATCTAGAT